TCCTTCCGGTGCACTGCTGTGTTCGCGCCTTCTAAATGACTGGGCGTCTCCTCTTTCGCATCACACACCGTCAGACCACCTCCCTTCCTCCCTGTCTCCCCACCCTCCCACCTCCTTGTCTCCTCACCTTTTCACTAACAACTTCATCCTCTCCCCTCTCCCACTGCCAACATTGTGTGCCGTGTCGTGATGTCAGTCTCCCCAGTCCACTCTACAATGCAACACTGGTGACAACCTTGTCTCCTTTCCCCTACTCCTTACGCCCTCGCCCCTGCCCCTGCCCCTCCCACTCCATATTGTTGGTCGGTTTGGCTCTCGCCTTCCACGCCTCACTGTGGTCCACTGAACCACTATGCGAGAATGCTCTCTCCGCCACTCTGTTACTGGCGAGAGAGTGTGTGTGTGTGTGCGTGTGTGCGAGAGAGAGAGAGCGATTTCTTACCGTCGATGGAGGTGACTGCGATTGTGTCACAGTCCACCAACACTATCAGACCATTTGGAAGCCTGCACATAGAGACATCCATCTCGACGCACACATACACACACGCGCACACCTTACCGTCTGCATCCTTCTGCCACCGAGGTCGCGCATTTTCTTCTTATTTGTGCGCCACCACCAAACAGGTGATGTTGTCGCCATTGCGACCAGTTATGATGTCCTAAGACTGGTGCAGCCACCGCCAACACCACCACCACCACCACTTTCTTTCATGTGCAATCGGCAGCACCCAACTGCTCGTGACTACGTGTGTCTCGTGGTGCCCACCAAAGCAATGACAACGGTGCTGCCTATCCGTTGGCATTGCAGCAACTGTTGTGTTTGCTGTGTGTAAGGACGTGTGTTTGTGGTGGGTGAAGGGAATGAGGAGGAGTTGGCGGTGTGCGTGTGGTGGGTGGGTGTGTGTGGTGAGGAGAGGGGATGAGGGTGGGTGGAGGTAATGCAGGTGAAGATTATGGCTGCACAAAATGGGTTGTGTGGCCTCTTCCTCCTCCAACCCACCAGTCCTCCATCGAGTTAGCATTCTACACCCTGCCTTAACTCTAAACACTGTGTGGGATGGTGAGCGGCAGGTGAAGTGCAGTTGTTGTGTATGTCATTGACTGCACAACCACTAGACTGCCTTCTTTTGACTGATTGTTCCTCTCTCTCTCTCTCTCTC